ATATGTTAAAGTGTTTATATTAACTTTTAATTTTAGGTTATAAAATATGTTTACTAAATTATCAAATTTGAATATATTTTTTGTGTGGGGATATGAATTTTTTAATTAAAATTTAATTCATAATAAAAATTTAAGGAAAATTTTCAAACGATGGGAGATTGACATTGGATGTATCATCGTTTAGATGATAATGGCTGTTTTGTTGATGAATTCAAATTTGGCGTGGAGTATTTCCTGGATTTTGCATTTTCCCAGTCCAATCCAGAATTTTGTAGTAGAAAACGCATTAGGTGTCCGTGCAGGAAATGTATGAATGGCGAATGGCATCGTTGTGTTACTGTTCAGTGTCATTTGACAGATAAAGGTTTTATGAATAGGTATGTAGTCTGGCTTGCGCACGGAGAGCAATTAGTGAGAAATCGACAACGTCATCAGTGGGGGGAATCCTTGAGGGCAACTCCTTTTGTGATGGAAGAACTAGGTAATGATCCAATTAGTGAGATGGTTATGGATGCAATGAGTTCACATGGTATAGAATATAATATGGATGATCAGGGCAGTGATCAGCCAATCTTTGAGGAGGCAATGGGAGATGCAAAGGAATTTTTTAATCTTTTGCAAGCTGCTAATACACCGCTTTATGAAGGATGTGATGAGGGTGATACAGTACTCAAATGGGTGTCTCATTTTATGAATGCAAAGACACTTTATAATATGAGTGTGGCTAATTGGGATTATGTGTTAAAGTGCAGTAAGAGATGGATTAAGCCAGAGGATCGATATAGGATTCCAAAAGATTTTTACAGTGCTAAAAAGATGATGAGGCGCTTCAGTCTAGGTTATAAGAAGTATGATATTTGTGTAAATAACTGCTTCTTGTATTATGGTGAATATGAAGGCAAAAACTACATCACATGTCTAGTATGTGGTGAACCTCGTTGTAAGGAGGCACATGTGTAGCAAAATCAATATATACCAAGGAAGTCATTGTGGTACCTCTCGATTACACCTAGATTGAAAAGGTTGTACATGTGTAGAAAAACTACTAAGCACATGACATGGCACCTTACTTGTGGTGGTGAATCTAGAAAGATTGTGCATCCTGCCAGTGCTAAGGCACGGAAACACTTTGATCGCACCTACCCTGACTTTGCATCCGATCCAAGGAATGTAAGGCTTGGATTGTGAACAGATGGGTTCACTCCATTTGGACATATAGTAGCCTCGTACTCATGTTCGCCTGTATTTTTGACTGTTTACAACCTACCTCCATCAATGTGTATGAAACCGGAATCCATCTTTCTTTCTCTAATAATACAAGGGCCTCAAAGTTCAGGAAAAAACATTGGTGTCATGCTCCGCCCACTGAATGATGAATTAAAGGAACTTTGGTATAATGGGGTCCAAACATATGATAACTTTAGGCATCAGCATTTCATTATGAGAGCAATACTTATGTGGACAATTACTGACTTCCCTACATATGGCATGTTATTTGGATGGAGCACACATGGTAGATTATCATGTCCGTATTGTCAAGAAAATTCTAAGGCATTTCACCTCCCAAATGGTCGGAAGATATCATTTTTTGATTGTCATCGGCAGTTTTTACCCCCTGATCATCCATTCAGAAAAAATAGGAATGATTTTAAAAAAGGACATGTAGAGAATGATGCTCCACCAGAGAGATTGTCAGGTAATGATATGTTCTGACAAATTTAGCAGTTGCCTGATATACTATTTGGGAAGCCATCCCCAAAGGCAGGTGATTGAAGGATTTTGTGATTGGCATAATTGGGTTAAAAAAAGTATCTTTTGGGAGCTTCCTTATTGGCGCACAAACTTAATCCGTCATAACCTTGATGTCATGCACTGTGAGAAAATTTTTTTTGATAATATCTTTCACACCATCATGGATGACTCATTGACGAAGGACAACTCGAAGGCAAGGATGGATATGGAATTATATTGCAATAGGCGAAGTCTTTGTATAAACAGGCACTAATGCAGGTAAAAAACCCATAGCCACTTATGCCTTAAATAAGGAGCAAAGAAAATCATTGTGCCAATGGCTAAAGAATCTTATATTTCATGATGGATTTGCATCCAATATCTCTTGGTGTGTGAATATGCAAGAGGCGAAAGTTAACGGGATGAAGAGTCATGATTGTCACATATTCATGCAAAGTCTCATTTCAATTGCATTCCGTGACTTTCTCCCAAAACAAGTTTAGGAAGCACTTACAGAGATCAGTGAGTTTTTCAGAACCTTATGTTCTCCAGCCATTCATGTTATAGATATGAAGATTTGGCATACAAAGATTGTAGAAACAATATGCCAACTTGAAAGAATTTTCCCTCCTTTTTTTGATTCAATGGAGCATCTAGCAATTCACTTTCCATATGAAGCCATGGTGGGGGGACCAGTGCAATTCTGTTGGATGTATCCATTTGAGAGGTATTATTAGAATATCTAATTTTTTATTATTTTATATATATATAATATAAAACATAATTTTGTTGAATTATTATTAATTATTATAAAATTTTTTCATGAATTAGACGAATGCATGGATTGAAGGATTCGGTGAAAAATAAAGCTCATCCTGAAGGATCAATATGCGAGAATTACATAATG